AATATGGTCCACTTTGGGGGAAGGGGAGGTTGTACATTAAAACCACCTTGTGAGCTTAATCTTTGACTTAGAGATTCTGAGAAAGCTCTGCCCATCCTGGTGCTCGGCACCCTTATCATAGGTAAGTTGCTATTGGGAGCTTCACTTCTCAGATGGAAGAGGGGTGGGTGCTGAACAAAATGAGAGCTGCTGAATTAGATGACCTCCTATATTTGTTGTAGCTCTAACATTCTATAACAAATGCTTTTAGAAGAAAATTAATTTCTATTCATGGACTGCTAGTCCCTCAGTAATCTTTACAAATCAATTCAGGAAGCAAGCAGCTATGCCATCCTTGAAAATAAATCACTATGCAAGTGGAATCAGATAGCAGAAGGGAATACAATTATTTATTTAGAAATGCATCTGAGGTTTAGATTTATTTCTTGTTGATATACAATTCCATCAATAAATTTCGAACATATAAATTATTCTGCAAATGCACATTTAACTTCCTATTTACATTTTAAAAGCATCACTATACCATGTCTCTGGGTATCAGAACCACTTTATCCCTGAGAAACCGAATTAACTTCTTCCTTGCTGCAGGACTCCCAGTGTTGGCATACCTGAATAGGAAGAGTCTGTGCTGTAAAATTACTCCATTCTCGCCAGTTAAAAAATAAAATATGCCAGGCAAACATTACTGGGAAAAGAAGAATGCAAAAAGGCTGACTTTTCCAACAGCTTTCATTTCAGTAATTGCTTTTTTCTTTCCAGCATGGTTTACTGTGCACACACAGGGGTGCACCAATAAAAATTTAACAATTGACTCTCAAGGAGAAAAAAATGTCACAACGGGCAATGTCTGCCAATTCCTCCATGGCTAATTTCAAGCTACCAATATACCAAGTGTAAACTCCTCATTGAAAAGAGACGTGTATGATTGGTTCTTGTGAGTGGGTAGAGTCAGTGTCAGCACATGGTAGCCCTACAGTCTCTCTCGGATGCACACAAATATATCATATTGAAATGTCATATAATACGTGGTACACGTATGAGTTCTCAACTTTTTTTGCAAATGCACATTTAACTTCCTATTTACGTTTTAAATGCATCACTATAATATGGTGATAGTAATGCTCTTAAGTTTGTTCTTTCTTTCCCTCCCTCCTTCCCTTCCTTCTTTCCTCCCTTCCTTCTTTCCTTCCTTCCTTCCTTGTAATGGATGTTTTTGTTTTAAAACCTTGTAGTAAAAGATTAAATCCACAGTCATTTTAACTAAAAATTGATTAAGTCAGTGAACTATTTTTGGGAGCATATCATTCTTACCAGCATGAGCTAAATGTAGTTTAAGACTGAAGATAACTCATCACATTCTTTAAAACTCTTTGTATTCAGAGCATAGACTTTAGGGAAAATATTTTAGCATTAATAAGTGAATGTAGATGTTTGAAGTAATCCTAAAGCACATTATGAGGATCAGCTAAATATGCACATATACGTATAAAAAAGTGTGTGAGATTCTGTAGATAACAAACTGAAAGATTGTTTTAACAAACTAAAACTAAAGATTTTCCAGGCTGACTTTAATTAGAGCCCAGCTTGGTAGATGCTTTAGCTATTGGCACATTAACTTTGAGGAGAGTTCAAACACTGAGAATGAATGAGGGAAGAGGTTTTGGCTGGAGGGATTCCTGCCCTCTACAGTAACGTCATAGTTAAGGGGACATTATGACTCTTCATTTCAATGAGAATTTACCCTTCAACCAGGTCATGTTGACATTTCTTCAGGATTCATTACTATCTTAAAATAAGTTATGAAAAAAGTTTTGGGTTGAATCATTACAATCAGAATAATCAGAATGAATGCCATACTAAATACCAAAAAGAATAAAACTAAAATCATTATAGGGAATCAGTCATGTGATATGGGTCCATATGCTCGATAATCAATGTTACTGATTGCAACCCTACACAAAAGCAAAGAAATTGCACAAGTACCGGTTTACTGGTTATTCAATGAAAGTGAGTACCTGAAGGAGAAGGCTGGCCTTTTACTACGCCATTTTTAGTCTTTTCTTCTGAATTCATTACTTCCTTGTAGATAAGTTCTATAAGAAACAATTATGTATGTTATTATAGAAAACAAATTATTCATTAGTTAATGACAAATAATAACATTTTTATAGGGTTAAGTAAATTAAAAACCAATTGGGATTCCTTTATTCCTCTTTCTGTATTTCTTCAGAATTGACTCAGGGCCTGGCACAGGTAGGTGCTCAATACGGCGGAAGAAGAATCCACATTTCCCTTGTTTTCTGCCTTCCTTGGGGAAACTTCTGATGCATTCTAGCTTCATCTACTAAGGATTTTGATGGTTCAGCTTTTAGAACATTCATTTTCCTTCTGGGTAGGTACTCATTCCCTAGGAAAGGCACCTATTCTCGTGACTTTAAATTATTTCCAATCCTCCTAACTTCCACCTCTTACTGCATCTTTGCCCCAAACTCATAAAACCCAACACATAAAAAGATTTATTTTGCTCATTCCCAAACGAGCATCTGTGTTAGGCTTTCTCGTTGCCAGAGTTAAGTTAGATGTGTTTTTCTCCCTATTTAGTCTTTGTCCTCCTCAAATGACGGTTATGTCCTATTTATAAATGCCGAAGAAGTATCTCCCTAAATTACTCAGACCAAAGCAAGACTTTCTCATCTGCCATCTGGCATCATTTTCTGCCTGGTCCACTTCTGGCACATGCTCATTTTCCTGTATTTACCAGGACCCTGCCACAGTCCCTTTGCTACCTTCATAACATGTTTTTGCTTGTTCCTATCCTTATTTTCCCCTTAGCTTCCCATTGGATATTTTTCTTTTTTTCTTCAAATTTACATTTATTAATTCTTTTAAGGTAGCTTAAAAGTTTCTTTCCTTCTGATCCTTCCTTATGTTCCTCTCTCTTTTTATCTGATCATTTGTTATGGTCTGCTATGGTTTTCTCATATCTACTCTATTGTGTATTAGTTTAACAATTCTTCACAAGCTCAAATTGCTTTCTTTTTTATTTCACTCTAAGTGTAGTCTTCAAGATGCAGTATGTGTAAACATTTTGCTGAAAAATGAATTAATGTAATGACCCATTCCTTTTTTTTTTTACTTTAAAGAAGAAATAGGAAATAAGCCACCTATAGACACATATTTTTTCTTCAAATTATCAAGACTTAAAAGTCCAGTAGCGTCCCTGCATTAATTATCTTTTATTTCCTGAGGTCTAAAATAAGCTCAGAATTAACTTTAATGTTACATTTCTCGTGGTAATTTTATGTACAAACATGGGAAGTTTAATTTTAAAACTCTGAACTGAAGCTTGCCCCCCACCATGACAAACACTTCAATAATCAATACTATTTAAAAAGCTGTCAGTAGTTAATTCCTGTCATTCTTGAGCAAATGCAATATTGCTTTCAGTCTAAACCAAAAGATGAAGTTTTAGGAACGTAAAAATGGTCTAAAAGAACAACAATCAGAAAATCATCTTTTAGTAAATTATTCTACAAGAAGAAGGCTTGAGGATACTTTGAGTTTCAATTAAAAAACAGCATAAACATTTTGAAAGTAGAATCACCTTTCCATTCTTCAATGGTGTGCTCTCTTTCATCCAACTGTTTGTCATATATCTGAGGTGGAGGCTGCCAAGTAAAAACAGTCAGTCAGCTTTGCACAACTGAAACATAACTAAGCTCTTACAATGCAGGAGAATACCTCCCCACTGACGGGTTTGGGTGGTCATCAGAATATCCCATAAATTATGACATAATTATAGCAGGTCAGACATTAAAATTTCCACACACACGTATGGAGGGTTCATTTGTATTGCAATATTTGCTGCCGACTAAATGAGGCAGCAGAACCCACCTTCTGAAAGCTTACTTCCCAACATTTTCTAATTCAGAACCCAAGCCTAACCAACTAATCCCTGGTCTTGTGAAAAGCAAACAAGACACTAGATTACCTGAGTCTAGAAGCTGCTATCTATTCCTTTGCCCTGTAACAGAGCTGTACCAAAACTATCTCAAACTGATAGGATTTTATTCCATTTTTAGATCATCCGAGAAGAAGAATCAATCTTTTATTTTTCTTGAAGCATCACAAAATATCTTTATATATTGCTATATGTCCTGTATTTAAATGATTTCAAGCTTTTTGCCCCCTCAGGCAGAGAAAACTGCCAGGTGGCTATACAGATGGGTCACCATGAACCCCTGAGTAGTTCCCTGGTTCGTCCTCTCCAGGGGAAATGATGTGACAGGGCCTCCAGTCAACCTATGAAATCAGCTGACTCTTCTTCTATGGGGTCAGGTATGGAAAAGGAGAAATTTTCACCAACCCACATGCCTTCCAGGAAGGAGGGCCTCAAATAAATTCCCTAACCTTTTCTTCCTAATATTTACTGGGGAGATCTATTGTGGTAACTAGACTATCTCCAATTCTGGCTAAGCAACATAGAGAAGAAAATCTCTTAGAAAAATAAGTCCCAAGGATGTACAGAAAGATGGTGCTGAGAAGTTACACTGACTGGCACCAGGTTAAACACTAAGAATACCTATCAAATCTCTGCTACCAGGATGCAGAGGACCCCTGAACTGGTTCATGTCCCACACTTCCAAAGCAATAGTTTTTGCGACAAATGAAGAGTCACTCAGTGAGAGTAGCTCAAGCACATGAGAATACGGATCCATAAAAATGGCTATTATGAAAAGGCATGGACAAGATTTCCAAGGCCAGAGATGCTTTGGCCCATGAGCAGCACCCCATTGCTACAGTAGCCTTTCTGTAATGCATTCAGAATCTCTGTAGCCAGAGTCATGACAGACACAAACATTCATCCTCCCCCTGGCATGCTGGGGCAGCCTCACATCCTGTATAAGTAGCTTGTTGGAAAATACAAGACTTCATCCAGTTGTTTGGAGGCAATTTAGCATGATCCTGAGGGGTAGGGAAATAACTGCTGATGGGCCAGACATTCCTTTAGCATCTCTGGTTGCTAATGGGACAGAAGGATTTAAACCCGCTCCTGCAGTTCAGATGTGGCTGACTGAGTAGCTCTACTGACTAACAGTCAGCCCCCTGACAACCAAGCAAAATGACCCCGTGACAATGGTAAGAACAAGACAACAGTGACCACAAAAAAAGAAGTGAGGGGACTGGGGTGATCAAGCACTGTTCTCAGGACCCGACTGAGTCAGGGCCTGACTGAGGCAGGATCTTCCACCTCAAACCAAAAAGGACTCCAAGATCATAGGAATATAATAATTTAAGAGTCAGTGAGTCAAATGAAGGTATTTTTGAAAATCTGAGAAATTGTTATCTAAGGAAGCTACTGCAAAGACAAAGTTTGGTTTTGTAAAGATGCTTTGCCAAGTGGCAGATTTGCTGCTCTGCTGTGGTTAGGTCCCTATCCACGTAGCTGTCCATATCTGGACGTCTGCAGGACACCGTGTGCAGAAGCTGCAGAGCCCCCAAGCTCTGTGCACTGTTGGCACCTCCTTCTTCTGCTAACAATAGATTCAGCTCGAGAGCGTGCATAGCCGGCTTATTCGTGCAGTGGGTTTTCCCATTCAAGTTTTAAAATTGAAAATGGTTCAAGAGCACAGATCCTGCCAAAGTTCATAAATGCCATTTTCTCTTTGCAACAAAGCTATTTTGAGGAGATTTTCCTTAGAGCTTCAGTCTACAGCTGTTGCTGATACCGAGAGTACAAAGTACAGGAACTAATCACAAACTACAAAGAGAGAAAGCAGAAACCGAGAGGGATGTTTCAAACACACTTGCAATTATAATTTCTGTTCAAGGGCTTCTAAAAATGAACTCTATTTCCAGATTTAGGTTTGGGCTTTTTTAAAAGAGGGCATGTAAATGTCACCTACTGTAAAGGGTAGACTCATAGAAAGATGTCTTTAAATGACAATATTAAATAGTAATTGGTCAACAATCCAAAGAGAGCAATGTTCTAACACATACACAAAAATACACATAGATGTGCTTGGCAGCAATCATTAGCTTGTGGAGAGATAATTGATAACATTCCTGCCTCCATCTGCTAACGTTTTTTATTGCAGAGTTGTTCTCTTTTTCCTCCTTTCTAAATAGAAATGATTATCTTTTTCTATATAACAATATAAATAAAAAATAAATGAGGAGTAAAGATAAATAAATACCTCAAAGGTGTTTGTTAAGAGAATATTTTTGGAAAATATAGCACATTAGAATTATTTGAAATATGAGAAATTAAGGATGAGAGGAAATTAAGGACAGACAATATGTGGAGAGTTAGTAGGGCTTGTGAATCTCAACCCTTTGAATATTCTTTTAAAGACTGAAGAGTCCCTTTACATTATTTTAGAAGGTTTGGATTTTACTTTCTTGATTGAAATTCTTACAGAAATTGAACCATGGATTCAAATGTATTCAATAATGTAATACAGTTTAGGTGTATTTTATACTGATGATATTATATATACATGTTCAAGTGTTTCAATGAAATGAGAAGGAAATACATGAACTAGTACACAATCACTAAGTTAGTTAATATTATAATTAATTTATTCTTTTATCAAATTAATTCTTTCAAACGGCTCATTCATGGGCACCTGACATGTCCCAGAATCTATTAGACATTGAGATTTCCAAATTGAAGGTTACTGCCCACCTCAAGGAACTCACAATTTCTCGGGGTGAAGACTGGTGCAAAACGGGTAATTAGAGACATCATAAATGCTAGAAATATGTATGTGGTATATGGGAACAGAGTGGAGAGACCCTAACAAACCTGGATTTGAGTCCCTGCAGTCAGGGGCACTTACTCAGTGAGCAAAAGATATGCAGAAGCTCACATCAAGATAAAGGAAGAAGGAGGAAGAAATGACTCCAGGCCAAGGGCATATATGTGATCCAAGGCACAGAGCCTACAACACAGACTGGTGGTGGTGGTATGTACATGTTTGTCTGTTTGTGTGCACAGAGAAAACTGAAAGAAGTTTTGTGATAATATAATATATGTGATCAGGAGTGACAAGATCCAAGAGCTATGTCTAGAACTCAAACAAAGGCTAAATGGTAAATGATGTTCTTGAATATCACCGTATGGAACAAAGATTTTTTCCTGAAGAGGAGGACAAGCCATGGAAGAATGTAAGAGAAAGAGACGGCCAAATCTGTGGCTGGATTGCACAAGGAGACAACTGGAAGGAGAGAGAAGAGGTGGGAGCTATTGTATCACCTAGAAAAAAAATATTAAAAGGTCTAACTGGGGTAAGGAAGGTGAAGACAGATAAAAGAAATATATTCAGAAATAATAAAATTGGTAGAATTTGGTTTTTAATTGAAAGTGAGCAATGGGAACAAGTAATATGAGTCCCTAAGAAGAGTTTCTAAATTGAGTGGCTGGGCAAAAGATGGTGTTGGGGAAGCCATCTAAAGAAACAGGATGGAAAAGGGAAAGTGAGATTGGTACAGAGGTAAGCCTAAAGGTTATGTGCGCAGGGGTGTCCATTTGGAAATAAGTATATGATCTGAAGTTCAAAGGAATACTATTGACTAGAGATATAAACTTTGGAGAATGTCAGCAAGGTGTTTGTTGAAGCTATAAAAATGGGTAAGTTCATCCAGGGAAGTTATGCAGCTAGAAAGAGTAAGGGGTTAACGTGGATCCTTGTCTGATATCCAGGTTTAAAGATTGGACAGAGGAACATACATTCAGTAAAAAGAGAGAGAGAGAGAGAGAAATATTTAGAGAAATACATGAAAAATGAGAATTATAGTAATATAAAAGTAAAGTGAACAGATTCAAAGAAATTTTTAAAAATACATATTGAAGTCGTGTGTCTGAAAAATGATGGAATTTTATTAAAACTCAATTTAAAGAGTAATTCAAGGCAAATGTTAATAGATTTGAATCTAAAATAAAGGTTAATAAAACAATATTTAAAGTTAACATCTTTGTGAAGCAAGAAATAGAAATACAATGTTATAGGGCGTCCATATTTCCAGTTTGTCTAAAACGGTTTGTACTTTCTGCTCGTTGCCCCTGTGGTGATTAACAGCCTTACCCCTCACTCCTGTAAGTTGTGGTGGTTGGAGGATAGACATGGGAGCACCCACATAGTGACGTGACAAGCCAAATTAGGGACCAATAATATATGGTAAGTGGCAGATGGAGAAAACAACTAAATTACAATGTTTTCTGCCACTGAGGTTTCAACAATTGCATATGTACCCTTTGCTTATTTAAGATACTATGTCAGAATTTCCTTTCATTTTCCCCATTTTTAAGAATTTTAAAGACTTAGTTATAAAATATGGATCTTGGTAGAAAATACATAGACGAGTGCAATTCTATATAACAATTGTGGGATTGGAGAATATGATTTCTGCTGGAATCCTATAGGGTTCTTGGTGTAGGCCATGAGTTCTTAGCAAAGAGATCTCTTTAAAAAGTATCCAATTTCTAACTGATTTTCCTAAAGTAAAGTAAAAGTTGCTCTTTCTTGTGACTTCATTTTATGTCATCTATTTAAATAATACTTCATTGAGTAAAATGTGTGAATATTTTTTCTTAATCTTTAAGATAATTCTTTTTTCAATAGCATCATATAATGTTAATAATGAGAGAGAGTTCTACGATTAGCTG